CCCCAAAACCCCAAAACCCCAAAACCCCAAAACCCCTGCTTGATATAATTTTATTGAATATCGTGTTTTATGGAAGAGAAAGAGCAAGCTGAAAACCCACAATTATTGCAGAATGATATTGAAACCTTTGGGACTCTTTGCAAAGAAATGAACGAGACATTAGAAGAAAGCCAAGAGAAGCTGGAAACTTTAAAGGAGAAGTTAACCAAAATGAATGAGACTAATCCTCCAAATAATTCTGGGAGCAATACTTTCCAATATATTGATGTGAAGTCAATGCTATTGCTTAACTATGTTACCAGCTTGCAATATTTCACCCTCTGTAAAGCAGAAGGTAAAGATATGCAAGAGCATGAAATATTTGAGAGACTCTCTTATCTAAGGCTCATTATTGAGAAGTTAAAGCCTCTTGATAAGAAAGTCGATTATCAGATTGAGAAACTCTTAAAGTCGGCCTTGACACAGAGCCAAGGAGAGTCTGTGCTTCCTAATAGAAAGCAGAAGGAAGATAATCTGAAGTACAGGCCAAACCTGAACAACTTTGACTCCAAGCATATTACCGAGAAAGCAGACCAGAACATGGTTACAATGGAAGGAGAGGGAGAAGCAGAAGGCGAAGACTCTATCGAAGATCTCTCAGATGGCTCTGGTGATGAAAAGAAGGCCAACCCCGATAGCTCAGATATTGATCCTGATAACATCAACAGCGATGATATAGACTCAGACGCGCTTGAAAGATTTGCTGTCAAGAAGCAGAAGGCACAGGCCAAGAACAAATCAGGAGAGCATATTAATGAAGAAGAGATCTATAAAGCAGTCACAAACAACCCAATGAAGATGGTTGATACCTCTAGAAAAGCTCAAAAGCAGCGTGAAAAGGACCAAAATAGGATGAAAAGGGTTGATCTGGTCAGAGAACTTAAGCATGACATGCTTGATCTCCCAGAAGAGGTAAACTATGGTATCGCCTCTGGTAATAGAAGACTCATCGAGCAGGAGAAGGAAGATGAAGATCTTGAAATGAAATATTTCAAGCGTATTTCCTACACTGTGAAGGAACAGAAACAGAGAGAGAAGAAAATTAAGAGACTACAGAAGTCAGACTATTCAGGCATCACTGACGGATTCCATGACTTCCAGAGAATTCAGGAATTCATGGGAAAGACTTATGGAGGTGACGAAGATGAAGAAATGCAGAAGCATATGGAGAAAGAAAAGTTCCTACAAGAAGTTAGATCCAGGAAAAGAGACAAGAAGAGTAAAGTCAAGTTCCTTGATGAGGAGATTAATTCTGATGAAGCAGGTGATGATGTTCTGTTCCAAAAATTACCTAATAGAGGTAAGATAGCTTGTTAAATGATTTTTAGGGAATAAGAGTGGTACTGGGGACAATAAGCCAAAGAAAGGAAATAAGAAGAGATTTAAGAGAAGAAAAAATTAAGTTCAACTTACAAATAATATTAGGGGTTTTGGGGTTTTGGGGTTTTGGGGTTTTGGGG